GTTCAAAAGGTCTGCGCGACCAAATTCAAAGATGACAACTTTGCTCTGCAGCGCCTATGCTGGCAAGCAGCATCAGCTGGCTGTTTCCATGTTGTCAATTAACCGGAGCTGGACCACTGGGGTGGGTCGTGATACCACAAGCAACAGGCGCAAGCAGTACTGGCAGGAGAGCAATTTGCATGAGCGCTGCTGGATGTATTGAAAGCCTGCAGGCCTTCTCAACAAGCGGATCTGCAGCTTATGACCGGGCCTCTGAGAAAAACGCATTACCGTCAGACATGGCCCTGAAGACAACTTTGCTGATTTGGGCTTGTTCGGTCCACATGTGCAGACCTTTCATGCAGTGCTTACACTAGTTGAGGCTTGCACTGGCCAACCTCCAACATGTTGACCTGCTAGTGTCCAAAGGTTCTGGGACGTGCTGGGCTCCCGTTGGCCGCGCTGTTGGATTGCACTCCACAGGACCGAATACCGCGAGCCTAGTCAAAGCGCAGCATGCTTCTCTGCAGAGAAGTTCCGCCAGGATCCGAATCCAGTGATCGCTGGGACGCTCTCTTTCGCATGTGAGGCAAGGCTTTGAATCAATCATGGTTTTAGATTTGGCTCCCATGCACGGATGCTTTCGGACATCTTGCTTGGGCAGTGTGTTTTCAGGCTGACACACACGTGCAAATCGCAACCGTTCGTTACAAGGCCTGAGCAATTGCTTTCATGAAGACTTTGCAAAGTCTTCTGGCACCTGTGCATTATGCTCGTGCCTGTTCTTATTCCACGTTAAACCTTTAGCTTTAGCAGAGACGAAGGCAAGATGGCGAAGAAGCATTATCCAACAGCTGGAGAAGTACACCATCACTCGCGGCATGCCACTTGCCCGGGCGATTCTGTTAAGTGCTGAAAGGAGACGACTAGTGAGGGGGTGCGGCAAGTCTAATTGAAGACTTGCCTTTGTTAACAGTCTCTTCTAGCACCTAAGCATCGCGAAGTGGTGTTGAATCTTTCAGCACGGCAGCTGGCAAAGCAAGGTCTCCGCTTGAAGCTGTGGCTGCAGCGGCAGAGAATGCAGGTGGATTGTTAGCGGAAGCCACAGTCCATCGCTTCGTTTTGAGATGTAATTGGCAATGTGGTTGTGGCTCAAGTGCCGCATAGCAGTGGCTTCTTGTGGCACTCACAACACTGAAACTCGCAAGCGGAGGGCCCACACGCCCGCAGCCATCCGTAGCCATGGCTCCCCGCCTATCTTCCCTCCTTGCTGGCTGCGCGCTACTCACCATGTCTGGGTTTTACTTCAGCATCCAGGGCGACCAGTGGTGCTTCCACAACCCAGACAGCATCAACGGGCCTTTTGTAACTGCCCGGCACTGGTCTTTGGGTGGCCACGGCTTGGCTTATATCACGTCCTCGGACCTCCAGGAGCCTGGTTGGCAATGCTCTACGCTTGCTGTGGGGACAGAGGCGCTGATCTTCAAAGGTCCTGCTACATGCCGGTCCCTCATACCCATATCCGTTCACAACTACTGGAACACCGTGACAATACAGGCCTCGAGTATCACAGAGTCGGGCAGTAACTGCAGCTCGTGCCTTTATTCGGATGTGCCAGTGGGTGGGCCCTGGCCTCAGATTCCATGTTCTGAGCTGCCACCTCACAGGCCTTCCCAGGATCCTACAATCTCAGACCAACTTCACATTTCCTAGCTCAGCGGACTAGAGCTGCGCAGTGCTGCGCAGCTCCTTGCGTATCGGGAGCCAAAGCTGCTCCAGGATGATGCGTGACTGGTACTTAAAAAACGGCACATGCTCTGAGTGTTGAATGTTTCCGTGTCTCTGGGCTACCTGTAGTTTCCTCGATGGTGTGATTTGAGGGGTGGGGTAAGTGGCTGTGGATGAGAATGCTGGGTAGGGCGGAACGATGAGAAATAGCTGGCCTCTGCAGGAGATCTCTACCATGTGCCTGACGCTCTTTTAGACTGAAGGCTTTGTGTTGTGTAGGTGCAGGCATAGCAGCTGCACCTGGACTGATGGATGCTGCAAAGGGCCTCATCGTCCTTTTCTCGGTGCTAAGTGACTCACGGACTAACTGCCTGGCATGTGGCCACGTAAATACTGCATACGTGTGCAGTCATGGCCTTCAGTGGGAAGTCTTCGGACCTACTGCTCCCGAATGCTGGTATGTCTGAAGTTTCAGGTGCACATCTATCACGTGACTTCTTTGGCCGATGCCCGAGTGCTGTTGCTGTGGATTGCCCTGAACTTTTATGGCGTATGCCTCAGGTCCCTTCGACGCCAGGCGTGTCTCCCGAGAGCTTGCAGCCCTACGTGACCTATGAGGCTTGTGGCGTTGTGATGCGTTGTGGCATGGCATGAGCTGTCATCTTCAATCCTATGACTTCAGAGGCCATCAGGCAAATGCCATAAATTTAGGGCTGTGTTTGCAGGTGCCTGGGCACAAGACTCACTTTACCCAAAGCGGGAGCGGTCCCAATGTCACGTTCGAGGACTCGTGCTGACAGACATGTCATCAATTGACAATCATGTTTCGAAAAGACATGGCCCATGCTTCAGGATGCCAAGCGCATGGTTGTCAGAGTTGATACCGAGTTCTGCAGGCTGGGGCTGACAGGGCGGCTTTGCAGAAGAGTGCTTTGGCACTGCATGTGCTGTATTGTGGGGAAAGGTGGGTGGAGAGTGGCGGCGGGCTGCACCTTCTAGTCTTTGATGCGGCTGTGCCTCCTGCTGGCGGGTCAGAGGACCTTGGCAACTCACCACCTGCCTGTTGAAGCACCGCCATGGTTTCCAGGAGCAGCTCGGCCTCATCGGAGAGGCCCGCGTTCCCCTGAATCAGCTATTAACGCCGCAGGCCTATGAATCGATCCTGATGACATAACTTACAATGCATAGTAAAGCGTTACGAGATATGGCGAAGGTCACGATCTGCCAGGGCACGCGCCTTACCGACCGGCTTTGTTACCTAGGTTGGACACTATTGCGCCTCTCAGGTCCAGGGAAACTTCCCGCTGCATCGATCGAGCACGGCTGAGCAGAATGCTAAGCAGTGCTGGCTTCCGGTACAGGCTGGAAGCTGATTTGAACCGACCTACCATGTCGTATCATGCAGGCTTCCGCCAGTTGGCTTCATTGAGCTGGCTGTCGGATGGCAGGCGCGGTATCGCCTGCTGTGATCGCCCCTAGCTGTAGCAGTGACTCCTGTCCTACGCCAGGACGATCCGACTTCTGTTCTGGCACCTGGCGCAATCGGCCTGTCTGTCTCTCAGATGCCCTGCGATACGGTGTCACGTTTCTGCGCTACATCATCGGAGACTTCTGCAATCAATGCTGCCATGATTTTACGTGGACCCAGACTCCTGCAGGATGTCCTCCCAAAGTTGCCCAGTTATTAGCTTCGAGTTGTTTTCGATGATAATGTCAGGTCTTCGTTCGAGGCAGAGCGAGGAGCCATCACTGAGGAGCAGTTCCAGGCGCGGGAGAATGATACCATCTCCGGAGTTTTGGCGCGGTTGTACCCCATGACATAGTTCCCTCTATAATCCCCCTAAGATCCCATGTAATATCAATATAGTAGTTACCGTTTTATTTTCCATGATCCCTCTTTGTACAGGTTCTTTGGCAACGCGTCATACGCCGGTTGCACGTGCTGAAGCTTGCTCCGGTGGACTGGCCAGCTGCTGAGATTCGTCTGCACTTCCTGGCACACGCTTCTGTGGATTGATGCTATACTTAAGAGCCTCCGGCTCAGTCCGCCGACCCAGTGGCGGAGAAAGCACGAAAGCCTAAACGCGAAACCTTGAGGGTTTTCAGCGGCTGGCACGAGACCAATAGATAGGCGCAACAAGACTAGT